AAGGGAGGGAGGGAGGGAGGGAGAGAGGGAGGGAGGAAGGGAGGAAGGAAGGAAAAAGGGAGGGAAAAAGGAAGGAAGGAAGGAAGGAAGGAAGGAAGGAAGGAAGGAAGGAAGGAAGGAAGGAAGGAAGGAAGGAAGGGAAGGAAACAACCTAGAGCGATAGCGATCTTTCAGGTGCTGAAGACTGGAATGTGCGCTATTATCAGGTATAGTCCAAACCACATCTGCAGAGCCCTGATTGTGTTATAGAGACTCAATATGGTTACATCCAGATACTAGGGAGCCCTTAGTGCAACAGCAGCCCAAATTTATTAAATTTTATCATTAAATTCTCTGTTGCCATTGTTCCTGTTCCCAAAATAATTGGTACTCTTAATAATTGGTGGCCCACAGCCCACGAGGCTCCTAACATGGCAGAATGGGTTTGTTGTCATCATTCTGTAGTTTTTCAAACTCAGAAGCTCTTAAGAAAAATAGTGCTGGTTTGGTATTAAGGTTTGAGAATTCTGAAATACTACCAAGGAATAAAAAAGTCTGTCAGAACTCAGTGGGCACAGGTAGGGTGTGAAGAATCCTTGTAGAAACAGAGCATAGGAATTTTCCTTAGATATTATTTCTAGCCTTGATTCAGAGGCATTTGTGAGCCTGAAGTTTCCCTTACCTACTGAAAAAGGCTCTGGGAGCCAGCTTAAGTGGCTTGATCAGATAATATGCTGGTTAATATTCTGATTATATTCTGATGCTCAGAAAGATCAGCTGGAGCAAACGGGGGGTGTCCTATACAGGGAATGATGTCGTGAACCATGAGGGAAGCACCTCACGGCTCCCTGCCTTCCTCTGCACAGGGCCTTCACAAAGAGGCAGCAACAGTTGACAGCCATGAAGGTGATCCAGAGGAACTGTGCTGCCTACCTCAAGCTCCGCAACTGGCAATGGTGGAGGCTCTTCACAAAAGTGAGTGATTGACTCTGCACCTTTCCAGAAGCCACCTGACCTCCTTCAGTTTCCCAACCCCAAGCCATACTGGGGTCTCTAGAGATGGGAATGGGAGGTGGTCCAAAGTGACTCTGGAATTGGAGGTCTAAAGTCAGGCCTCACATGCAGGTCTGTAAGGTTTGTAGGTGACAGCCATGCACTACTGTGACAGTGACTGTGACAGGGAAACAGCAATGCAGGATCTTTTTCTTGCAAAGATGCATAACTATGTCCAACTCCCTTGGCTCTTCTTTCATTTTGTTCTAATAAATGGATCTAATAAGAGGCCCAGTGGGTAAAGCACACAGCCCTGGGTTCAATCCCCAGAACTACAAAAAACAAACAATGAAAGGTCCCTCATCTTTGAGTTTAGGCTCAGCAATTCTGTCTTGTGGGAGAGGTTCCTAGAAATTGTTCTTAAATGTAAGCCCATACCTCTTGCCTCTACCTACTGATGCCAATAGAATCTTCCATCCCTGTTTCAACTGCTGATTATGTCCCTGACATTGCCCAGTGTCACCTAGACAAAATCATCTATAGCTGAGAACCAATCCAATATTTGATGAAAATGGCTCCCTATGTGTATCTATGCAGGTAAAGCCATTGCTCCAGGTGACGCGGCAGGAGGAGGAGATGCAGGCCAAGGAGGAGGAGATGCAGAAGATCAAGGAGCGGCAGCAGAAGGCAGAAACTGAGCTAAAGGAGCTGGAGCAGAAGCACACACAGGTATAAACAAGTGTACAGTGGGCTGTGGGGGCTGCACAGCAAGGACTCAGCCCGTAGTGAGACTTGGATCACGTCATGGCCACCTCCTGATCCTGCATCCTAATCCTGCATGCAGCTGGCTGAGGAGAAGAATCTGCTGCAAGAGCAGCTGCAGGCAGAAACAGAGCTGTATGCTGAGGCCGAGGAGATGCGGGTCCGGCTGGCAGCCAAAAAGCAGGAATTGGAAGAGATCCTGCATGAGATGGAGGCCCGCCTGGAGGAAGAAGAGGACCGGGGCCAGCAGCTGCAGGCTGAGAGGAAGAAGATGGCTCAGCAGATGCTGGTAAGACATTGCAGGGGCACCTTATGATGGGAACAGATTCACTAGACCCTCGTGAAGGCATCTGATGATACACAGCCCTGATGCTGGACAGTGGAGGCACACACCCTTAGAGAGCAATGGTTATCTGCCTAACACCACAGAGCTAGGGCAGGGATTGAACACAAGTCACCAGAGCCTGCTCTGTCTAGTGCCTTGTATTCTGTATGCTGACCCCCTTCCTGTTAGCAGCTTGGTGTGAGAATAACACTGTAATGACCAGCCTGAACACAGCAGCTTCAAAAGGTCCATATTTATCTTAGTATTCAGCAACTGGGGAGGGGCTCAGTTGAGTGATTCTGACTTATGGCCACTCGTGAGGTTAGCAATCAAGATCCCAATCAGTCATCTGAAGGCTTAAACAGGCTAAAAGATCAATTCCTTTGTGGCATATTCTCATGGCTGTTAGCAGGAGGTGCCAATTCCTTAGCCACGTCATGGGGGCTTCTTGGGCTTTCTCCTGTCATGGCTGTGGACTGCCCCCCCCCCAGAAGAAGGAGGGAGGAAGCCATGATGCCTTCCATGGCCCAGGCTTCTGAGGTTACAGTCTAGCACTTCCTTCCAATTGTGCTGAGAATTCTCGGCACCCCTGCCGCTCCCACACACATACACACACTCGTGGGGCCTAATTGCTTGCCTCTGGAAGGAATGACAGAAAGAATGTCTGGAGTATGGTACTGACACCCCAGTAAAGACATGTCACCAACACTTAACAAGGCAGAGTAGCCTACACGGGTGTCCATCTCCTCCTTTCTGGAGGAGACAGCAGCATGCAGGAATCCTCGGCCCAGATCTCCTCTAGTGACTTTGTTCCAGCAAGGCTGTGATGCTTGTCTCTCTCCCAACCAAGGACCTGGAGGAGCAGCTGGAGGAAGAGGAGGCTGCCAGGCAGAAACTACAGCTTGAGAAGGTCACAGCTGAGGCCAAGATCAAGAAACTGGAGGATGACATCTTGGTCATGGATGATCAGAACAACAAACTTTCAAAAGTGAGTTAGATGTGCCAGGCTTGCCTGGGACTCACGTCCGGCACCCTATGAAAATGGGGGAGCACTGGTCACTTCAGTTAGTAATTCCAAGCTAGCTGACTCCATTAATTCAAACTGGGCATCAGCTAGGCCCCTGTGGGCTAGGGTCTGTGTGGATCAGGGCGCTCATGGAGCAGGAGGCTTACACTCTGGCCAGATAGAAGTAATTATTACCACTGTGACCAGGTCTGAAGATGCTCACCCTGTTAGGAGTGGAACACTAGGGGATCTCCAAGGAGACTTTCTGGAGGAGGGGGCATGAATGTAGCTTGGAAAATAGTTAGGAATAGAAGGCTGATCTGCATTGAAAAGGTTCTGAGGCAGAGCCAAGCTGTCGTGTGGCAGGAATGGGGAAGTCCCTTAGCTGAACACTGAGTATGCAGGACACACTGGTCTAAGGTAGTGAGCAGCCTGGGAAGTTCCTAAGGAAGTTCTGCCATCTGGAACTCCTGGTGCCTGTGATTAGGAAAGGGGTTCTTTTTAAACTGTTCATATAGAAGCTGCCAGAAATAAAACATAGATCATGTAGGGAAAATAAGAAAACCACGGCAATGACTGTTTTTCCCTTGGCCCCAAAGGAACGAAAACTCCTAGAAGAGAGGGTCAGCGACTTGACGACCAATCTAGCAGAAGAGGAAGAAAAGGCTAAAAACCTCACAAAGCTGAAGAGCAAGCATGAGTCCATGATCTCAGAACTAGAGGGTGAGTGGACAAATAGTGGAACCAGAAGTTAAGTGAAATGAAACTGTACTCAAAGACACATATTTTTGTCTAGATTTTAATATTTTATTTGATGTTTTTATTATTTTATTTTCCATTTTCTTTAAAAATTTATTACTTACTGATTGAGTGTGTATGTATGTATGTCATATATATGTGTAGTGTGTGTGGTCCTGCATGCCACAGCATGCACATGGAAGTCACAGACAGTTTTGTAGAATTGGTTCTTTCCTTCTGTTGTACAGTTCCTGGGGATTGAACTTAGATAGTTAAACTTGGCTGCAAATGCCTTTACCTGCTGAGTCATCCTGTTGGATTTATTTTACTTTATTTTTGAAGGCAGGTCTCATGTAGCCTAGGCTAGCCTGAAACTTACTATGTAGTCAAAGCTAGCTGTGAGCTGCTGATCCTTCTGATACCTCCCAAATGCTGGTATTACAGGTGTGCCTCTGTGCTGGGCTTATGCAATGCTGGAAATGGAAACCAAAGTCTTGTGCATGCAAGTGTAGAGTTTTGATTTTAAATGAGTGCATAGGCATAGCACACAAAGGTTGAAAGGGATCTATAGAAAGGAAGGGGTATTAAGGTAGGGCAGGTGGCTGGACAAGACAGGGAGATGGGGAGAGAAAAAAAGGAAAATGTCTTTGCTCTCATATGGAATCAGGTTTTAAAAAAGAAAAACCATAAAAGCAGAAAGAGGAACTGTTTAAATAAAGAAAGGGGACCAGAAGGAGAGGGTGGAGGGACAAGAGAGTAATTGAGGTAAATACAAAGTCCCACCATTTGTGTCTATGAAATGGCCTCACAAAATCCACTATTCTACATAGCCACTTTAAAAACTATTGCACAGGGACTGGAGAGATGGCCTAGATTTCTCCAGTGCTAAATCATGAGGACAGAGTTTGGCTCTAGACCCACAGTAGGTGGCTCACAGATGCTGTAACTCCAGCTACATGGGTTCCAGCAGCCTCTTCTGCCCTCCAAATGCCTCACACACAGGTGCCCACACACTTGCATAGATACCCCCACACAGAGATACTCACACGTGAACACGGACAGCCATACACACATACACACAGAGAGAGCTACACATGGACACAGACACTCATACTCACACACACAGAGATAAAATAAATATTTAAAAAAAAAACTAATAAACCAGAAAAATCAAAAAGGAACCTTTAGAAAGACAGATTATCATGGGAAAGATGCTATCTGGGCTCCACACTGTGTGAGACCCAGGGGGGGAGGGGGGTTTCCCCAGACTTGACACTCCCTTCACCCGAGAAGGGTCTAGGGTAGAATGAGCAATGCCCACAGCCCAGGCAGAAAGGCATAGGCCTCTTCCTGGTGTCGTCCCCCTGCTGAAGTAGCCCTGGCTCTCTTTGCAGTGAAGCTGAAGAAAGAGGAGAAGAGCCGGCAAGAGCTGGAGAAACTAAAGAGGAAGCTGGAGGGTGAGGCCAGTGATTACCACGAGCAGATCGCGGACCTGCAGGCGCAGATTGCGGAGCTCAAGATGCAGCTAGCAAAGAAAGAGGAGGAGCTGCAAGCAGCCCTGGCCAGGTGCAGGGTGTGTGTGTGTGTGTGTGTGTGTGTGTGTGTGTGTGTGTGTGTGTGTCCAGAGACCCTCTGGTTTTTGAGGTGGCTTCAGGCCCTTGGGATGGATGTTGTTTCTCAGACCAGGTCTCCTGCAAGCCTTCTCAACTATGCTCTCACCCCGAAACCTCACATTTGACTTCTCTTCCCTCCACTCCAATGGGATTGCAGCACCTGGGGTGCCCAGAATTTGTCATCCCCCCCATCCTACTCTCTGTGCAGGCGGCTTCCCCCAGCTTCTGGCCACACAGCCGGAGTCACCTGCCCTCCTACTCCCTCTGCTCTTCCTTTATCCTGGCACTTGACTGGCTTCAGGCTGCGCATATGGCAGCAGCAAATGACGATCTGTGTAGTGTGTTGTGTGTTCAGTTCATTCCCAGAAGCACCCTTGGACACAACTATTGTACCACACTTACACTCACTTCTCTGGGGACACAACTACCTGCCCACACTGCTTGTAAAAGGCAGAGCTGGGGCTCGAACCCCAGGCTTTTTGATTAGTCTCCGGCTCATCTCTCTTTTCTAACTTGGAGTGCATGGCAGAACTTGGGTAACTAATGAAAAATGTGACTCCAGTGTATTAGTCTGTGCTGGAGCAGTAGCCTGTCCCCAGGAAGACCCTGACCTCCTTGGGAGCCACTGGGCTGTAAGCATATCAGAGCACCTGCCTGACCTCATCCTGGGCCTTCCCATTCATCGTAGTCAAGTTGGACAGCACAGCTGGATGTGATGGTATATACATGTAACCCTAACACTGAGGAGACTGAAGCAGGAGGATCACAGCTTTATGGGCAGCCTGGATTCCATAAGCCAGTTTTTGTCTTAGAAATAAAGAGAGTTTACCATGCAACAGGACCAGAGCTCAGCGCTAGGCCTCCAGAAGGATCTATGATGAGCATAGGGATAGATTTTATTAATGGAGGATGTAAAGTACGAGGGGCCTCTTTCATAGGGATGAGTTCTGTTCACTGCGGGATCAGGGCTTAAACAATGCTCAGGATATTGGGCAATTCAGGTAGAGGCTGGGTCCTATTGGAAGAGCAAAGAATCACTGTGGCGTTTCAGGTGATTGGGCGCCGTTCATTCCCTCCCATTGAAGGAAACAGGCCCATGGTATTGACACTGCTTTCTTTAAGCTGAGCCTCCTACACTTTGAGACACAGGAGCCAACCCCAGAACAGTTTTTGGTGGCATTGGATAGCCTTGGTTGTGGGGTCTTAATCTGGGTTCTCCATCCCGGGCAGGCTTGATGAAGAGATTGCCCAGAAAAACAATGCCCTAAAGAAGATTCGAGAGCTGGAGGGCCATGTCTCAGACCTACAGGAGGACTTGGACTCAGAGCGAGCTGCCAGGAACAAGGCTGAGAAGCAGAAGCGAGACCTGGGGGAGGAGCTGGAAGCCCTGAAGACGGAGCTGGAGGATACACTGGACAGCACAGCCACACAACAGGAGCTCCGGTACGGGGCTGGGCCCCAGAGGCTGTGGGCTCCAAACAAACCTGTTTTTTTTTTTGTTTTTTTTTTTTTTTTTGATTTTTCGAGACAGGGTTTCTCTGTGGTTTTGGAGCCTGTCCTGGAACTAGCTCTTGTAGACCAGGCTGGTCTCGAACTCACAGAGATCCGCCTGCCTCTGCCTCCCGAGTGCTAGGATAAGCAAACCTGTTTTTGTCTAGAACATGAGTATGTTTAGTTTTATCTGCAAGAGAGCAGTAGTACAGAATTGAAGAACAACTTTAAAATGATAGAACAGATGTCAAAAGGAAATTTCTTCCAGTTCCACCCATAGTTAGGGTTTTTAAGTAATTTCTTTCACTGTATGTGTGCATGTGTATATGTTTTATGTTAAATTTTAAAAATAATATTCATTATATTGGTCTCTGATTTAAGATTCACTACAAGTAAATAGAGGAAACAAACCATATACCAGACAATATTCTGTCTCTGTGAACGTAGGACATCTATTCATTTAATGAGCATGTCCTACGGTAGGGATTCTCCACACTTTGGGTTTTATATGTGTACAAAGGTTAGTCCCACCTTTTGTTTCCCTCCCACCTGGCTAGAGATGCAGAAAAACCCAGAGCAGTGGCTAAAACTCCAGGTCAGGCTGGGCTTCATCTTGTAGCTCTGTAACATGGTAGTTGTGACCCTGTGGGAAATGACACCACTGCTTTGTAGAGTTTCTGTGAGAATGAAATGCTGTGTATAGAAAAATCATGTCCAGCTGGGCCTGGTGGTTCATGTTTATAATCTTAGTACTCAGAAGTAGAGGCAGAAGGATTTTGAATTTGAGACCAGCCTAGGCTATGTAGTGAGTAAAATTCTACTTCAAGGAAAAAAAATCTTAGCTCAGGGCCTGGCATACAGTAAGTGCATACTAAGTGCTGGATAAATCCAAGAAGTGTTAATATTTAAGGGACATACTCTTACTTATATTTTCTATGCTGGTCTGCCAGCCTTAAGAGGTTCTGCACAACTAAAATGCTCCCCATTGCACAGCTAATGCAGGGTAGCGAGGTTAGACAAGTCACTCTGGCTCACACGGTGAAGGAGAACTTCAGCTCTGAGTACCAGGAGACCTCTTGTCCTCTTGCACAGTACTGTCACAGGCAAACCTGAGTGTCATCCACTGTGTTCTTTTCCCCTAGAGCCAAGAGGGAACAGGAGGTGACAGTGCTGAAGAAGGCCCTGGATGAGGAGACACGTTCGCATGAGGCCCAGGTCCAGGAGATGAGGCAGAAGCACACACAAGCTATGGAGGAACTCACGGAGCAGCTGGAGCAGTTCAAAAGGGTGCGTGCTCAGGAAACACCCCAGAAACCACATCAGGACAGCTGATTTCACCTATTCTTGTCTAGAACTTCAAATCTTGAAATGTTCCTAAAACCCAAAAGTTTCTGTGCACAACAAATGAAAAACTCTACCCTAGACCTCATGAGATGGGCCATAGTCAGAATGCAGGTGTGCCAAGATACTTGATATAAAGATCTTTAGGCTACGTGGACATAGTCTGTGAGAAGTAGGCAAATCATGTTCAGCCTGAGCCATCCCCCAAGGTGCTTCTCTATGTACAGACACAAATATCCTACAACCCAAAAAGCTATGAGATTTGTGATTCTCAGATTTAGAGAAATTGTGCAGCCCAGATATGTTGTGGGAGATCTAGAAGCTGGGTGGTTTGCCTGTACTCAGGAGCTGCAAAGCATCCTCCTCACTAGCTGAAGTCCCCTCCTGTTTCCTGCTTTTAACACTTCCTTAGGTGATCCACATATGTACGGGAGCTGTCTGGTAAAATAAATTGATCACAGAGATAGCAGGGAGATCAGACAATCTGTGATAGATAACAGGCAGTCAGATTCAAGTGGAGTGGGCGTGCCCCACTAACAGAGCAGGCACTGCTACGTCGACTGGTTTTTGCCTTGAGGGAAGGTAAGACCAGGTCTTTTAGTTTGCTTTTTGGGAGTCAGAATTATTGAAATATGTAAACAAGCTCCCCACACCCAACACTTTTCTTATTTTTAGATAGGGTCTCATTCTATACCCCAGGCTGTCTTGGAACTCATGATAATCCACCTGCTTCAGTTGGAGTGCTGGGATTACGGGCATAAACCAACATGGTCTGCCCTCCTTTCTTTCTCTACCCTCTGTTTCTTCTTTGGAGACAGGGTCTTATTAGACAACTCTAGTCTCACATCCAGGGTTTGCCTCCTGAGTGCTGGGATTACAGGTGTGTGCTACCACACCTGGCTAAACTCACCAATTTTTATTTATTTTTATTTTTTTATTTTTTTCTTTTGAGACAGGATTTCTTGGGTAGCCTTGGCTGTCCTCAAACTTTCTCTGAAGAGCAGGCTGGCCTTGAACTCACAGAGACAAACCTTTGCCTATCAAGTGCTGGGATTAAAGGCGTGCACCATCACCCACCCAGTTTAAATTCACCAACTTTACGTGTACCTTTCAACACATTTTGACAAGTGTGGCCATCTGAATAAAGAGTCCCACAGTCACAAGATAGAACATGAAGTTGTTAAAAAAAAAAAAAAGAACTTGGAATTCATATTTTCCTGGGAAATGTCCTAAAATTTGGTAACCCACACAGAGCAGGCCTGAAGGACATGAAAGCAGTTGATGGGGTTAGGGTTAAGAAACTGGAATCCCAGAAGCACTATAGAAGTTCTATGCTCAGGGGCTGGAGAGATGGCTCAGTGGTTAAGAGCATTGCCTGCTCTTCCAAAGGTCCTGAGTTCAATTCCCAGCAACCACATGGTGGCTCACAACCATCTGGAATGAGGTCTGGTGCCCTCTTCTGGCCTGCAGACGTACACACATTGTATAAATAAATAAATAAATAAAAATAAATAAATAATTTTTTTTTAAAAAAAAGAAGTTCTATGCTCCCTTTGCCCCTTCCCTTGGAAGAGATGGACTAGAAAGAGGGACAGAGAGGACAAGTCCACCTCTCTCTGCTTCCCTCGGCAGGCCAAGGCAAATCTAGACAAAAACAAGCAGACATTGGAGAAAGAGAATGCGGATCTGGCCGGGGAGCTGCGTGTCCTGGGCCAGGCAAAGCAGGAGGTGGAGCACAAGAAGAAGAAGCTGGAGGTGCAGCTGCAAGAGGTGCTATCCAAGTGCAGCGACGGGGAGCGTGCCCGGGCAGAGCTCAATGACAAGGTTCACAAGCTACAGGTGAGGCCAGCATCCCCAGGCTGAGGCTGTCCAGCCTCCCAAGTCCCTGTGGCTGCCAGCAAGTTGGCTTCCTCGAGGTGCATCCTTGCATTCCCTTGTGTGAATTCTTCTTGTCAAAACCTCATGTTCTGTGGCTCCTTCTGGAACCCATCAGCTACAAGCTGGGAATCCTGGCCCTAGAACTTTGCAGTTCTAAGATTCTACCAGAGCCCCATTGTATTGACTGGGTCCAGTTAGGATCCACCTTATTGGATTCCAAATCCCCACCAAAGCTGGCAGAGATGAGCTGCATATCTGAGAGTCCCAGTGTTGAAAGTCAGTCCTGATTTGTTCACTCCTTAGCACTGGGGAGGAAACTGTAGGGCCTGCTCTCTCTCCTGCCCACTGCTCTTCCATTCCCTTTATGGCCATCACCAAAGAGGCTCTGTGCTCCCTTCCCACAAAGGTGCGTGATGGACTCTGAGTAAGAAGGGCTCTTCTTGTTGTTCTGTGATAAGACTTTCAACTCACCAGTCTCTCACCCCCTCAGAATGAAGTGGAGAGTGTCACAAGCATGCTCAATGATGCAGAGGGCAAGGCCATCAAACTGGCCAAGGATGTGGCGTCCCTCGGATCCCAGCTTCAGGATACTCAAGTGAGTACCATCTGGGAGACCTGGAGTGCCTCCTTCCTTGGGGGCATCCCTGGACCCGCCATGCATGCCTTCCCTTGTAGGAGCTACTACAAGAAGAAACCCGGCAGAAACTCAATGTGTCCACCAAGCTGCGTCAGTTGGAAGATGAGAGGAACAGCCTCCAGGACCAGCTAGATGAGGAGACGGAGGCCAAGCAAAACCTGGAACGCCACGTCTCCACCCTGAACATTCAGGTGTGGACAGCATGCTGGGGCCCACCATGCATCCTCACCTCTCTTCCTCTCCTCACCTCCAGGGTCCACTGTGACTCCTCTTCTCTGGGGTCCTTACAGGTCATCTCTTCTCCTCTGGGTCTGTGTGGTTTGTTTGCTCACTAGCTCTCTCTGCTATTGGATTTCCTCAGTGAGGAGAAAGAAAGTTCCCTTCTCAGAGCCCAACTTTTGGCCATTTCAGCTCTCAGACTCTAAGAAGAAGCTGCAGGACTTCGCAAGCACCGTGGAGGCCATGGAGGAGGGGAAGAAGAGGTTGCAGAAGGAGATGGAGGGTCTCAACCAGCAGTATGAGGAAAAGGCCGCCGCCTATGACAAACTGGAGAAGACTAAGAACAGGCTTCAGCAGGAGCTGGATGACTTGGTTGTGGACTTGGACAACCAGCGGCAACTGGTATCCAATCTGGAGAAGAAGCAGAAGAAATTTGATCAGGTAGGTCTAAGAGCTCACCGCCCTTGTCCTTGAACATGGGGAGAGGTTATTTCTGTGTGGCACTGTGGTGGCACTGGAAAGTCTGAATCTCATCTGGACTTTGCTGGAAGCAGTGGAAGGCTATCTTGTCTCATCTTAGGTGACCATGGCATATGAGGGCCACTTGGTCAGGGCATGAACACATCAGAATGCTTAACACTGAGATTCTTCTAACTAAACACTGTAACAGTTGCCCACATACATAGCCACAGGGCTGGTACAAGCTCTAAAAAAATGAGGGTCATTTATCCCATGCACTCAGTGACTACTCAGAAGCACTGCTGTGTGTTATAAGTAGTTCTAAGCATCTGTTCTCCAGAGCACGTCATTTAATTTCCACTTTCTTTGAGGCAGTCTCCTGTTGGCCAGGCTAGTCTTGAACTCACTATGTAGCTTACTTGATTTGGAGTTTCTGAACTTCTAATCCTCCTGCCTCCACCTTTGGAGCTCTGGGGTCACTGGTGTGCCATACTCAGTTTTATGCAGTACTGAGGACTGAGCCCAGGGCTTCCTGAATGGTAGGCAAATGTTCTATCCACTAAGGCACAGCCCCTTCCCTCAGAGTGTATACTAGTCAATCCCGCTTTCCCCAAATGCCTCATTAGTGAAAGTTAAGGCAACTGTGTAGTCACTGCCAGAATCATCCATTAATACCGTGCTGCATGCCTTTAACCTACTTTTGGGGGCTAAGAGGGGGAGAGGATCTTACTATGCATCCCTGGTTGGCCTGGAACTCACAGTGTATACCAGGCTGGCCTTAGACTCACAGACATCTGCCTGTCTCTGCCTCCCGGGTTCTCAGATTAAAAGTGTGCGCCACCATGCCTAGCTCTGTCCTAGTTATTTTATAATGAAGATCAATCACAACAAACTAACATGTTTAATATTTTGGGTACATTTCAAAGCAGATCACAGACATCTGTGCCTTTCTCCTTAGCATGTCACATGGCATATTAAAAGATACTTGGGCTGATGAGATGGCTCAACTTGTAAAGTACTTGCTGCTAAGATTCATGACCTAAATTCAGCCCCTAAAATCAAATCTACTTGGTGGAAGGAGAGACCAGCTTCCACAAATTGTCCTCTGGTTATCCTGTGGCACGTGTGTGCACGCCCACGTGTGCGCGCCCTCCCCACTATAAATAAACAAACAAATGTAAATAAATGTTTAAAAAAATTAAAAAATAGTTTTGCAGCCAGACATGGTGGCACAGGCCTGAAATTCTGACTCTCAGGAAGATGAAGCAGAAGGATTGTAGATTAAGGTCAGCTTAGACTAGGCTACATAGCAAGACTGTCTCAAAACACTAATATTATTATCATTTTATATCTTTAGGTAAATTTACATATGCTTCAATGCATACATCCTTTAAGTGTGCAGTCACATTGTTCTGATAAATGCACCTGTTATGACCCAAACTCCTAAATACTAGCTCTAATATGTGTTACCTATATTTATTAAAGATAATTTTAGCTGCACATTGGTGGCGCACGCCTTTCATCCCCACATGCGGGAGGCAGAAGCAGGCAGATCTCTGTACGTTCAAGTCCAGCCTGGTCTACAGAGCTAGTTCCAGGACAGGCTCCAAAGCTACAGAGAAACCCTGTCTTGAAAAAACAAAAAGAGAAAAGAAGATGATTTTATATGTGACATGGGGTTGTTTTTACAGATTGTGCTGTAAGAGTTCAGGGGACCGTGCTCCCTGACAGACCTCACTGTGCTGAGCTCGTGCAGGACGCCCTGCTTTCTCCTTTCCCAGCAGTCACTCTGTCGGTTCTACCCACAGTCTCATTATCCTTCCTGTCCATATTCTGTGGGGTCTAGTGTCACCGTCTATAACACACTGCTCTCTCCTCCATCAGATGAGAGTTGTGTTAAGTTGGAACAGAGTCATCTTTGACTTTTCTCCAAGCATGTGCATAACCATACACCTTCAGGATGGTACATGAGTTAACTCTGTAAGAAAAATACTTGTGGTCATGCAACAGAAACATTTATTTTGTCCCCAGGAGCAGGACGTGCTAACCCAATGGGCAGTTTGTTCTAGCAGTGAGAAAGATTATCTTAACTGGCTTACACTTGCACTGGGCACATTCAGTGTGACAGGGCTTCTTCATATCTGGGCTTCAATGAGCTTCAGGTATACTGAGGATGCCTCTGAGTTTTGTGTTCTTTCAGTTGTTAGCTGAGGAGAAGAACATCTCTTCCAAGTATGCGGATGAGAGGGACCGAGCTGAAGCAGAGGCCAGAGAGAAGGAAACAAAGGCTTTGTCCCTAGCCCGGGCCCTGGAGGAGGCCCTGGAGGCCAAGGAGGAGCTGGAGAGGACCAACAAGATGCTCAAAGCTGAGATGGAAGACCTGGTCAGCTCCAAGGACGATGTGGGCAAGAACGTAAGTGGTGCGGAATCTCACCAGCTAGTGCCTCAGTGCGGTGTATCAGTCTGGTGTGGGCACAGGAGACCAGGGAACAGCCACTGAGGCTAAGCCATCAGGAATCAGGCCTGGGCCACCGCTTTGGTATCATGAGCCTCCACTCTGTGAGGGTGAAGTCTCATCTAAGCAAATGCCCTGCCCACTCTGCCTGCCAGGTGCATGAACTAGAGAAGTCCAAGCGTGCCTTGGAGACCCAGATGGAAGAGATGAAAACCCAGCTGGAGGAGCTGGAGGATGAGCTGCAGGCCACTGAGGATGCCAAGTTGCGGCTGGAGGTCAACATGCAGGCCCTCAAGGGCCAGTTTGAACGAGATCTCCAGGCCCGAGATGAACAGAATGAGGAGAAGCGGAGGCAGCTACAGCGGCAGGTGAGCCAGCTCTCATCTGTGGCTGGGGACACCTGCATCCTCCACCCCACTTGCTGCCAAGATTCGTGACCTAAATTCAGCCCCTAAAACCTACTAGGTAGAGGTAGATGGACACCCCCAGCAACATATACCACATACAGGGATTGTTCTAAGTCCCTGGGAGCTGAGGGAGCAGCCAAGTGAGCCCCGGCTCTGAGGGGCATCCCTGTAGCCTGTACCTCTCTCCCTGGCTTAGCTGCATGAGTATGAAACAGAACTGGAAGATGAGCGGAAGCAGAGGGCTCTGGCAGCAGCAGCCAAGAAGAAGCTGGAAGGGGACCTGAAAGACCTGGAGCTCCAGGCTGACTCAGCCATCAAAGGGAGGGAAGAAGCCATCAAGCAGCTTCGGAAACTGCAGGTGGGTGGTACTGTGTTCAGGGAGGAGGGAGTGGAGGTGGAGGAAGAGAGGCCCAGTGCATCAGTAACCTCAGGAAGCAACCTGCCTCTGTCTGAGGTGCAGGCCGGTGACTGACTCTGCCACTAGAGGCACCATTGCTGGTTTTTGTCCACTCTCCTCAATTCCCTTGGAGGCCTGGGGCCCAAGCACACATCAGGGACTCACCAACATAAGCTGGAAATTCCAAGGGGTTGGCATGCAGAGATAAACATCCTTGTGAGAACCAGGTGAGTGAAAGTGGATCTTGCTTGTCCTGTTGACTCATTCAGGCTCAGATGAAGGACTTCCAGAGAGAGCTGGACGAGGCCCGTGCCTCCAGAGATGAGATCTTTGCCACCTCAAAGGAGAACGAGAAGAAAGCCAAGAGCCTGGAGGCAGACCTCATGCAGCTCCAGGAGGTAGAGGCTCCCCCTGCTGGTAACAGCCTCGCATGGAGCTGTGTGGGACTCCACTGCTCCCCCAGGCCTTGGTGCAGATTTCCTTCCCTTGGCTTCCCTCCCACAAAGGGCTCAGAAGGGGAATTGTATTTCAGCTGTGCGGGACAGATGATGGGAGCAAGGTAGCTAGAGCCTCTCTCTCCTGTCTCAGGACCTGGCAGCAGCTGAGAGAGCTCGCAAGCAAGCTGACCTGGAAAAGGAGGAACTGGCTGAGGAGCTGGCTAGCAGCCTGTCGGGAAGGTAAGGCTGCAGGGGAGGCAGTTAGACCTGGGGTAAGAGAGTGTCACCAGGGCCCTGACAGGTCAGACCTGGGCTTGGAAAGGCTCTACCTGATGGTCTTCCACCTATGGATTTGGGAGTGTGGCATTTCATTCATTCTGGGTGAGTAGTGTCAGGGACAAAGATAGACGTTGTTCCTACCCCATTCTGGCTTTGCTGGTGCTGGTCAGTGTATGTATCCTGGCCCACCACTTCCTAGCAGGTTGCATCCAATTTTGCTCTGCTGTGGCTCAGATATTCAAGAGGCCATTTAAAGGAGAAAGAACTTATTTTGGTCCAGGTTTCAGAGGATTCAGTCCAAGGTCTTCCATTCTGCTGATTCTGGACTCAGACTAGTGAAGAACACCATGGCACAGAAGCCTTTTAAAGAGGCGCCCCTTTTGTGGCAGACAGAAAAAGGGCATGGATTCCCCAAGGTCACTCACCTACCCTATTCCCCTGGGACCAACTTCCCCCAATTAGCCTCCACTTCCAGCTTCTTAACATCCAGGAATTCCATCATGTTCTGAATCCATCAAGGAATTAACCCATTTATTAAGCCGGAGCCTCAGAATCTAGTCACTTATCTGAGGCCACCAGTTGATAACCAAGTGCATGAGTTTGTGAGGGACATTTCATATTCAAACCATGACACAAGGTAATCTCGGATGACTTCAGTCTACCCTGAGCTTGAAGTTAGAGAATGAGGGCCACCTGAGAGCACTTTCCAGGGAGAGTCCTATGACTGGCTGTGCCCGTGGGTCCCCAAGGCAGCTGCATTCCCCTCAGGAATACACTGCAGGATGAGAAGCGTCGCCTGGAGGCGAGGATTGCACAGCTGGAGGAGGAGCTGGAGGAAGAACAGGGCAACATGGAAGCCATGAGTGACAGGGTCCGCAAGGCCACTTTGCAGGTAGGCAATACTAAGGTTAGGGTAAGGGGAAAGGGAGGGAAAACTCCTCAGGCCATTTATGTTAGGACAGTGGGCTCAACCTGTCCCTGGGCTGGTGCCCTACCCATTTAGTTCTGGGTGGCTGCTTCTGCCCTACACAAAATACATACACTGGACACTCAGCCACTAGACTCAAAATAGCAGACCACTTTGGGGCTACAGTGAGGCAAAACTGCTTGGCCACATTCCCCACACAGGAGCAAAGTTGATCACTAAATGAAAAAATGCCCTACAGCTGGATCTCATAGCTTTTCCTTGCCTGAGGGTCCTTCCTCTGATGACTCTAACTTGTGTCAAGTTTACCCACAAAACCAGCCAGTGTATTCCTTGTCCACTAGTATCATGCCTGCACTATCTGCTCTCTTCAGAAATCTCCGAACAGACCCGCGGGGTCATATCTAGTTCCCTCCACTACATGCCCACGGTGAACGGCGCTGCTGTTTTCCCTCACTGTTCTTTGCCCAGTCCCAAGAGTCCTTGGTGCCTCTTTGGAATGGAGGCTTCCTGAGCATCCCTATGTGATGCGTGCCTGGACCATCCTGCAGCCCATCAGTGTCTGGGCTAGGGAGCATTGGCGGAACTGAACAGAAGGCCCCTGGCTCAGTCTAGGTGACACAGGAGGCTTCTGAGCTGAGTCTTGGGGGGGGGCGACAAGGAATAGAGTGGATGGAGAGAGAATGCAGGTACACCATGGCAGTAGACTTGCTCTGATACCCACCCTAGCTCGATGCTTTCTGACTCACGGCATTCCTCTTTGCCAGGCTGAGCAACTGAGCAATGAGCTGGCCACAGAGCGCAGTGCTGCTCAGAAGAATGAGAGTGCACGGCAGCAGTTGGAGCGCCAGAACAAGGAACTCCGGAGCAAGTTGCAGGAGGTAGAGGGCGCTGTCAAAGCCAAGCTCAAATCTACTGTCACAGCACTGGAGGCTAAGATTGCACAACTGGAGGAGCAGCTGGAGCAGGAGGCCAGGTATGGGACATTTGGCGCTCCATCCCAGCTTTCTGGAGCCCAAAAGGGAGCACTGGGGAATCATTTACCCTAAGAGGCTCATTTCTGGTGAGTGACAATAGGGTTCAGTGGTGGCCACGCAGCAGTGATGTACTGAGGACAGAATGGAGACACCAAGTACTGTTATTAGGATGGTGATAGTCCTCCAGACATGAGCGTCCTTAGTGACAGGTCTAGCCACCAGCCCACAGATACGAGAAGGCTTCCCTGCTTAGTTATGACCACACTATCTTTCAGCCTGGTGTTTTAGGGGTTCTGAGCCACTTATACCAGCTTTCTGGATGATCCACATACTTCTGAGGTTTTTAGTTCACTTGCAGGTGTGTAGAACAATCACAATTTTAAAACATTTGTCTCACCTCAGGAAAAAAAAAAAAACACCCCGACCACAACAACAAAACATTCTTTGTCCTTCCTTCCCACCACGCCCAACTTTAACCACTTTGGAAAGGCTTATGTGGAATGTATTGGTCACTTTTCTCATTGTTGTGACAAGCTGCCTGCCAGAAGCAACTTCAGATGGGAAGGGTTTGTTTTGGCTCATCATGTAGGAAAGGCATTATGGAGCATCTTGGTTTGGGGTCAGCTCACCTGCAGCTCCTGCTTCTCACATCTTTTTTTTAAAAAATATTTTTATGGTTTATTTAACTTTATTTTTTTTATGTGCATTGGTGTGAAGGTGTCAGATCCCCTACAACTGGATCTTCAGACAGCTGTGTGCCATGTGGGTGCTGGGAATTGAACCTAGGTCCTCTAGAAGAGCAGTCAGTGCTCTTGACCACTGAGCCATCTCTCCAGCCTCTTAAACAGTTTTTTTGTTGTTGTTGTTGTTTTTTTTTCTTCAGTTTTTTGAGATAGGGTTTCTCTGTAGCTTTGGAGCCTGTCCTGGAACTTGCTCTGTAGACCAGGCTGGCCTCAAACTCACAGAGATCTGCCTGCCTCTGCCTTCTGAGTGCTGGGATTAAAGGCGTGTGCCACCAACGCCCCTGCTTCTTACATCTTGGTGGATCAGAGAGTCTGAGCTGAACCTTTGAGTCCTGCCTCTGTTGACCCATTCTGCTAGCTAAGCCATTTGGCCCACAACTAAGTTACGTTCCACAAGCTTGCCAGCCTGTCCTGCTGGAGATCCAACATTTGCCTGTGGGGCATCTCACATCAATGGAAACCCTTTGTGACGGACTCATTTCTTCAAAAGAGGTTCATTTGTGCTATAGCATGCCTCGATACCTCACCTCTCTCTATTCTACATCTGCCTGATCTTTGGGATGGCTCTTGATTTGGGGCTTGAGGAAGCTGGGATGCTATGTCTGGTTAACATGCCAGCCACAAGGATGCCATCTCAGTCTGAAACTACCTTTCCTTTCCTCCCCATGACAGAGAGAAACAGGCAGCTACCAAGTCACTGAAACAAAAGGACAAGAAGCTGAAGGAGGTCCTGCTGCAGGTGGAGGATGAGCGCAAGATGGCCGAACAGTATAAGGAGCAGGTAGCCATAGCTGCGGCCCCTCCTCAGTGTCCTGGCTTCACAGTGCTTTGGGGCCCCACATGTGCAGCCTTGCTTACTCACGATCCTTTCCTTGGCAGGCAGAGAAAGGAAACGCCAAGGTCAAGCAGCTGAAGAGGCAGCTGGAAGAGGCAGAGGAGGAGTCCCAGCGCATCAATGCCAACCGCAGGAAGCTGCAGCGGGAGCTAGATGAGGCCACTGAAAGTAATGAGGCCATGGGCCGAGAGGTGAATGCCCTCAAGAGCAAGCTCAGGTGAGGAGCTGGGGGAGGGAAGCTGGGAAAGGGGTTTGCAGCCTAAAGTGCCTGCTCTGCAACCATGCATCCACTCCCCTGCATCCCTGTACCCAACAACCCCCTCAACTCCCTCCACCATTTTTCTTAGTCCAGTGCTGAAACAGGCATAGAGCTGCCCAGGACATGGCCTCTGAGAAACTCATCTTCTATTCTTTAACCCACATGTCCCACCCCCTGCTGTGTGGAGGAAGAGTCCATCTCTTGGAGCCCATCCTTCACTGCAGGGTGGACAACTATCAACCCTCACTTCTTTCATTAACCTTCTTTCTCAGTTCTCACCCTCAGCACACTGCCATGTTGGGTAGGGTTGGGCTGTGCTATGCCTATAAGGTGTTTAGCAGGTCCACCTACCCAGCACCGTAACAGCTACAAATGTCTCCAGAAGTTGCCAGGTGGCCCCTCATGAAGATGTCCTGCCCACACTATTGTGGGGGCTGGGTTTGGTCCTCTTGCTCAAGTCTGCCTCCCACTCTGTACCATGTCATTCTGGATACTCTGGCCTTCCACTCCACTGTTCTCTTCACTCCACTGTTCTCTGTGATTTTAATATCCCAGGAGATCTTGTACTCTGGGATGTAATGAGAGGCTCTAACTGCACTGTGGGCATCCTATCTATCTAGCTCTGTGGTCTTTGCTCCCTCCATGTTTTCTTCCATGACCCCCAGTGGCCCCAGCTTCTTTTCCATGGTCAACTATGCACCTGCACCTTTATGCCTGTAACCCTTTTTTGCTTTGCTGGCTTCATTTGACTAGTGCCCAGCCCAGCCCTAGCATAACACCTTCTGCACAGCCAAGACACAAACCATGACACCCCAGCTGCTACTTCCATTCTGAGTATGCTGACAGCCACGTTCATCTCCTCCACAAGTGCACTTCTCATCTCTACTCTCACTGTCCACTGATGGCCTCACTTCCTCCTTAACTGGAAAACAGAAGTGATAGTCAAATACACACCAGCTTTCCCCTATTCCTGCCCTGATGTCTGTGCTGATCTATGTGGCAGAGCAGAGGCCTTGCTAAACCTGGCCCTCGTCAGTTTTGCATCCCCAGCATGCACCTGGGTGCTAGCTCACTCTCCTTCAGTTATTCCTTTGGGTGCTTTTCTGCCACGCCTTTCCCCATGCGATATGCAGGGAGCATCCATCAAAGGCCTTCTTTAGGCCACACCGTGACTACAAATAGCCCCTGGAAGAGTGACCATCACAGGACCTCTTGTTGGATACACTCTCTCCCCTGGACCTCACAGGGGTCACTCCTGATTGTCCTTCTCTCTCCCTCAGAAAGCTACCATTCATTGGACTACCCAGGTTCCATCTTGGTCCCTTTTTCATCTTTCTACTTTCTTTTTTTTTTTTTTTATCTGTTTTGAAAGGCGCCTCCAGTCCCTTAAGATGAGAGTGTTATGGGTTCCTACTTGACGGGCTAGACACCATCCTTCCTTCCCCATTTCTCCAATCTAGTAGAGGTGTAAGAGATGCTCCAGTGTTGAAGGCTCAGTACACAAGAGCTGTTTCCACAGTGACCCAAAAGAATATGCCCTAGTGGGGACTGGGCCCTCTGCCCTAGAGGACAGTCACCTCAGCTATCTGTCCCTGTACTGATATGTCTCTTCTCTCTTGGGCTTAATGGTTCTTTGAGGTCATTTGGCCATCTCTGTGGGTTCTGCCCACTTACTTAACCTGTACAGACCCAAGACAGAACCAAATCATTTTGTTATACCAGTACGTACCACATTCTCTAAGTCTAGGTGTACAGAAACATGAGCTCACACCCTAAAGCTGTGTGAGATTGTTAAACCCCACCAGCAGATCAGAAATCACTAAGCAAGTTTCGCGGTGTTGGCTGAATAACTAACCTTCTACATGCCTGAAAACACTTGCCATACTGCTAGTCACCTTCCACTTAGCTGCCAAAGCCGACAGAGACCAGAGTTCAGGCACTGCTCACTTGATAAAGTGCTTGTTCTTCAAGCATGAGGACCAAGTTCAATCCCAAACAAGCTGGGTTGATGGCAGAGGCAGGATTCCTGGGACTTTCCAGCCAGCTAGCCTAGCCCAATTGGTGAACTCTGGGTTAGTGAAACCCTGTCTGAAAAGACAGGGTAGGCAGTGCTCATGAAGATACATGACTTCCACACATGGCGTACACCCCTGCACAGACATCTGGTCCAATACTGACCTTTTCAGATGTTCTTACTTTGTACAATGCTCAAGTGACTCAGGACAGAACCAGAGAACCAAGCTGGCTCTCTGGTTCATGTTGACTTAAAAGTACCTTTCATTACTCAGTTGAAGCTAGTACCTTTAGCATACTTAACTGGCTCCCTCCCAAGCATGGATGGTAACTTCTGGGGACTCTCTCTGTTTCAGAGGGCCCCCCCCACAGGAAACTTCGCAGTGAGCTACCAGGTATCTTGTGCCTCCAGCTTTGCAGCTCCTGTGTGTCATGTTGTCCCTATTCCTCTGTGCCCAGCACCCCTTCCTTATCCCCATTCCTGTGCCCAGCACCCCTTCCTTATCCCCATTCCTGTGCCCAGCACCCCTTCCTTATCCCCATTCCTGTGCCCAGCACCCCTTCCTTATCTCCATTCCTCTGTGCCCAGCACCCCTTCCTTATCCCCATTCCTCTGTACCCAGCACCCCTTCCCTGTGTCCTCTCTTTTCCAAGTCCTTGCAAATTTCTGTGAGATCCCCCAAATGCGAAGGCCTGGATTAGTTCAGAACCATGAGTGTAAGGAGCAGACCTCCTCTCTGGAGTTACTGCCCTTCCTTCTGGCGTTTTGTCAAACATGACTTCTGGCAAAACACCTTGATCACATCTCTATTAGATTTTAAAAGTCTGCATGATTTGTTTTGTTTGTTCATTTGTTTGTTTTTTTGCTTTTGTTGTTTTGAGACAGGGTCTCATGTAACCTTGTCCGGCCTTGAACTCACTATGTAGACAAGGGTGACCTAAAGCTAGAAACCTGTTTCTGTCTCTCAAGTGCTGCAGTCACAGGCATGTACCACTGTGCTGTTATGTGATAATGAGAATGGAACCCAGGGCTTCATGCGGGGTGGACAAGCACTTACTAACTGAGCTACAGCCCTAGCCCTTGCTGGAATTGTTCTTAGCTACCTGCTGCTGAGGTTGCTCACGCAGTGGGGATGCTCAGCAGTACACTCTCCTTGTATAGGTAAGGTGCCTTCCCCTTGGCACAACCCCTAGAGAATAGACCTGGCTTCTATCTGGCTGGCCAGAGTCACGGTTCAGAAAAAAGAAACACAGGGCCACAGTAATCACAGTCCATGGTTAAATTTGTCCTGTCCAAAGGACATGCGCACTCCCCACCACAGCAAAGATGCCAGGACTTCAGGTGGCTTGAAGTAGGGCTCAATCCTTACTGAATTTTCAGTGCATGAGCGTGGGAACTGGACAATTCCTGCAGGGGCCTTTCTGGAGGCCTCATGGGCTCCCACATGTTCACAGACAGGGGAATGGACTTAAAGTTCATGGGGTCTCTGCTTCTCTGGGATTTTAAGCACATTGGGGGGGGTGTAAGAAGGCAACAAAGGCTTGATAGAGTTCCCAGACGCCCATAATGAGGCCAAGGACACCCTTGCTTGTATTTTCCTGTTCTTCGTAGAACTTAATTTTGCTCTTGTTGCCAAATACTTAAAGCTGGTTGAGGTTTTGCAGAGAGCATCCCCAAGGATACGAGGGGGAACAGAAGAGCCTTCTCCAGTCAACAGGAGACAAAACTTTGGCAAAATAGGAGAAGCTTCCACTCTAAGTAAGCCTGTTCTGCTCACAGGGCCTAGACTAAACTCCAAGTATCTGGAAATACCCACAATTCTCCAGGATGAGACCCTCTAAGAAAACCTTTGGCAGGATCCCCCTATTTCCTATAATTGGTAATTGGTATCAACCTGTTTTTGTTTTTGTTTTTCCCAAGATAGGGCTTCTCTGTGTAGCCCTGGCTGTCCTGGAACTAGCTCTCGCTCTGTAGACCAGGCTGGCCTCAAACTCAGAGGTCCACCTGCCTCTGCCTCCCAAGTGTTGGGATAAAGGCATGTATCACCACTTCCTGGCTGGTATCAACCTTTTGTCTAGAATTTGGAAAAACTTACTCCAATAGTGATCCTTGCGCTGGAACCATGCTGCATTTGATAACTAGGGCATGACTTGTTTCTGAGATCAAGGGACAAACCTTTTAAGTCAGCAAATATAGACTGTCCCAAAGACCACAAAGTAACTAAAGCCTTGATGTAGACTTAACCATGGTTTCTAGCCCCAGTGGGTTCCAGTTCTGAAGTAAAGTATAGTTGTGTGAAGAAAGGGCCACTGACAGTCACCTCTCCACACTGCACTCTAGGCTTCTCTCTAACTGACCCACAGCACTGGAAAGAAATGGGCACAGGCTGTTCATCCTCTAACAAGGAAGTGGCCTTTCTACAGTGGCCCCCTGAAGCTGGCCAGGATGTCTGTCTTACTTTGGAAATTTTTATTCCTGATTGCTGTCTTGGGAAACCCCAAAAGGTTCACACTGGGAGTTCCCCTACTTGCTGACAATAAGCTTTGGGCCTGCTTATGCCTCTGGCATGTCACCTGTCTGAGCTGATCCTTTTGGACTAAAGAATGGGTCACTGGGTGGGCACACCCTCATGGCTTTTCCCTCCAGCCTTCGTATGGCCAGCAAGTTGCTTTCATTATCCAACATCAGCTTTCTTAACTGTACAAAAATGGGTTAGCACCTGTTTTCAAATTCAGGTCAAATAGGGCTGGCTGTTGGGGGCCCAACAAGATCACATGTTACGTCACTGAAAGTCCACACATAACCTTTTGTGAAATAGCAAAGGGTATTTGTGAGTACACTTACCTTTCCCTTTTTCCCCACTTGCTCCTCTCACCCCAGACCAGAGGCTGAGGACAGTTGTGAAGGCTCAGGCCCACCCCGCCCTGAGTAAACGTGCACCTCAGAGTAACAATTTCCAAATACTCAGTGTGCATTCACTTGTCCCATACACATTCAAGGTAGACACCATCTCCCCACCATGGTAGATCTGAGGGCAGGGAGTCCCATATCAGGGGAGAGTGCTGTGTCACCCTCTTCAACTAAGGAATGTCCTCTGTGTAACTCCACTCTGCTTTTAGAGTCATTCTGAAAACCTAAAGCCATGCCTTTTTATTCCCACAAGACAGAAATCTGTAGATAAAACAGCACATTTTCCTATCAGGCCTGCGTGTGCGACTCTCCACCCATCTTGTCCTTTTTCTCTTTCCAATCCAGTGCTCTGGCACAGCAGAATCCTAAATGTCATGAAATGACCAAACCAGACATATTTAAAGCCAATAATCTCATGCCAACTGAATAAATAAAACCACTCAGACTTTGAAGACTGGCTGGGACTCACCCTGAATTTGTTTGTGACTCATTCATGCTGAGTGTGTGTTTGCTCTCAGCCCTTGATAAACACTTCTTCCAATCTCCTGGGAGATTTCCTTACTAAAGACGTGTATTTTCTGTTTTAAATCCATAGGCGAGGAAACGAGGCCTCATTTGTTCCTTCCAGAAGGGCTGGAGGCCGCAGAGTTATTGAAAACACAGATGGTTCTGAAGAAGAAATGGATGCTCGGGACTCAGACTTCAATGGAACCAAAGCCAATGAATAAATTCAGAACTATACATCGTGGCAGGGAAACAAAACACTGAGGACAGCAGAATCTAGCGGACTATGCTTAGCGTTCGGCTCCATTCATTCTCAAGTCGCAGATATCACCTCACCCCTCACGACAGTCGGCCCACAGCCCACACAAAGGGTGTGAATTCATGTTTTAGGATGTGCTATCAAAGAAGATGCAGGCCAGACCTTGCGCTGGTGGGGGGGGGGGTACAGGTTTTAGGAAAACAGCCCCAGTCACCATCAACTGTGTTTACATGAAATGAGTAAGTTACCTAATGGGTGCCACTGCCCCCAGTCCACTCCCAAATCATTCCCTGACCAACCAGTTGCTCCAGCTCGGGAAAGAAGCCCTTGTTTGAAAACTCCCTTCTCCTCCCTGGCTGCCACACCTCAGACACACACAGTTCATTCACCAAGACCAAGTGAACTAAAAAGGAAACACTGCTCCAAGGGCTGAGTACTGAGATCGCACTGTCTTACTTGCACCCAGGCTGTACCCATGGACACTTTCACTAATAAAACATAAGTCACGAAAATGGAGTTGGCTCTTCTGTCAAGCTGTAGTCTAGTGCAGGGCAGGGCAGGACATCCGTCACCCTGTGAACGTTTTAGTTAGTCCATAAACTGGGCAAACAATCACGGAGGGATTAACATGCATAAGGGAGGGCTTTATTTGGACATGAAGTTGAAGGCTGTGCACCAGCTGTGCAGCTGTCCTGCTTGAGCATCTGGTCTGAAAATTACAATGTCCCCAACACCTTTGAAGACCCTTTTCCACCAACACTGAAAAATCCCAAATGGAATGGGTCATAAGCAAAACTCAGACACACTAAAATTACTGTATAAAATTACTTTCAGGTGTCAGGCACAGGGGTGTTATGCCTGTACTCCCAGCACTTAAGAGGGGGAAGTAGGATGACTGAAAACTTAAGGCCAGCCTGGGCTACCTAGTTCTGGGATGGCATGATTTATATAATGAGACCCTGTCTCAAATAAATGCATAAATAGAAATAAAAACCTTCAGACTACATGTAGAAGACATACATGGGACTGAAGAGCCCTAGCTGCTCTTCTAGAGGACCCGGGTTCAATTCCAAGCACCCAACTGTCTGTAACTCCAGTTCCAGGGCATGTGACACCTTCACACCAATGCACACAAAATAGTTTTAAAAAAAAAAAAGGCATACATTGAAGCCCAGTGAATTCTGTGTTTAGAACTGGGTCCTGCCTCCAGGCTGCAAAAATATCACAACGTCCTAAAGACACCAAGTCCTAGGTACTTCTGGTCCCAAGTCTTTCAAGGGCAGCACAGTCAACCAATATTTTAAGCACAAGGTTTCTTGATCTCTTTAAATTACAATATTTTTGTTCAGCAAAGCAGGTCAGCAAAATCCCTCAGAAAGCCAGACACAAAGTATTTATGGCGGGTGCTCACCACATGACAGTGTGAGCCCAATGACCTGAGTTTAATCCTTGGCACTCACACCACTTGAGTGTGGTGGCATATACTCCCTCATACACCAATAAAGGATTTAAAAGTAAATACTTCAGACTTGTAGGCCACATCTTTCTCTACAACACATTCATCTTCGAGCAAAACTGTTTGAAAAATAAAACCCCAAACACCTAAAGCAGAGTGGCCCACGCCTAAGTCCTTGGTTTGGAAGCCATCTAAGGCTATCTCACCCCACCCCCAAAAAAACATTTAAGAAATCATTCTTAGCATGAAGAATCTACAGAAGCACACCAGGGACCTTTAATTCCCAATTACTGTAAAAGTTCTAGTCCACACACACTTTTCCAAAGCCCAACTCAACAGACTTTAAAATAAGAGACAGGAAATAGATACTAAAATGCTGAAAAAGCCAGTCCTCCCACAAATGCTGATATAACTGGAATGACATATAAACATTTCCCCAAAATCACTGCTGAAAAGTTGACTTTAATAGAAAAATTTTAAAAACAGATCTAATGAGTAAGGTGCTTTGCAAACACGAGGCCCTGAGTCCAGACCCTCAGTACCCTTGTGCAACTCCACCTGGCAGGGCAGAGAAAGTCACTCTTGAAGCTTGTTGGCCAACCTAGCCTAATGGATGAACTGGGGTCTAATAAGAGACCCCACCTCAAAAAGTAAGACACCAAACATCGACCTCTGTGCACACATGTGCCCACACACCCACCCACACACCTATATACATCACCCATAGAACTGAAGAAGATAACAGATATTGACTTCTGATTCCCAAGCATGTGAACACACGCCTCCAATCCGCACAAGCAACTACATATACCCACACACAAAATGTTATTCCTCCATTATTTTATTACTTGGCTAAACAAAAAAAAAAAAATGAACTTTAGGGCCATGTGCAAACACGGAAGGACAAACACACAGCAGTAAAGCAGGCATTTCTTTTGATTTTATTTTTTAATATAAAAAAATAAAGGCCATCTTTTCCCAGGCTATAATGTCTGAGGGGAACAAATGGCCACACAGCTTAAAACCACCTTGTGAATGTCAGCAGCACTCAGAAAGTTCTAGGTTCAATTCAAGGCCAGGTTTGCCCTATCTACTAAAAAATGCATTAGTAGCGAAGTGAAGGGTACTAAGCTCTGGAAATCAGTGCGCATTTCTCATTGTGGACAGAAGCAGGAGGTGGTGCTTCACCCCAGACAGACCAGACAAGGCTCTGGCGTTGCAGTTCTGTGCTCATTTCTCTACATCCCAAGGGAGCGACCACCAGTGGCTGAGAATCTGATGCTTTAGTCACTCTTGTTATTCTATAGACATAGAATGATGAAGTCTTGTTCTTAGGGATGGCATGACAAAGCCCAGTCCAACTCCAAGTTGTTCATGGTTGTGATGCAGAAGTCGCCCCAACATCAAGGCGAGAGCTCAGGAGAGATGGGAAGCTGGGTTTATCTACAGAGAATAATCTCCCACTGACCAGAGGAGTCAGACACACCTCTGAAAATCTTCATGAGGCAGATTAGAAGTGTCAAAGGGCTGGGCAGTGGTGGTGCACAATTGAGAGGCAGAGGCAGGCAGATCTCTGAGTTCAAGGCCAGCCTGCTCTACATAGTGAGTTCCAGGACGGTCAGGGCTACACAGAGACACCCCATCTTGTAAAGGTCATGGTCATGGTTTAAACGGCCCCATGCTTCTGTGATCTTCCAGTTCTAGACACAATTTAATCATGCTGTAAAGCACTGGCAGGATGTTCCAGAAGACAGCTTCAGCTGGAAGTAGGCTGCGGGAGAGCTCCTGAGCTAGCTGGGCTCTAGTTCCCCCTGAAGATTAGGCATATTCAAAACACCTCTGGAGGCCATTAAAACTCTAGGTAGCCAATGACAGGGTGGCCCCATCATCCAGACCTTAGAGCTGGAGGGCGGTGGGGTGAAGAACCAGTTCATCTCTATGACGCATACTGCCAGGGGCTGGGCCACATCACAGCAATGATGCTGAGTCCACAGCCAACAGCTAAATATAAAGAGGGTAGGACAGGTGAGGGCGCAGTTCCCATTGGTCCTAAAGCAAAAGCTTGACCACACCCTGGGTGGACGGCGGTGCCGGTGATGAGAGCTGTGAGGCTGGCTTCCCAAACTCCAAGCGTTTTCCTGACCTTCAGACAGAGCAAACACATTTAACAGACGTGACAGGAGTTTGCCATGGCTAGCACAGGGACCCCAGGGTTCTAAGGGTGAATGTCTCACAGGGTCTCAGCTTTCTCTCCTGTGAAATGAAGAAAAGGATACTGGCTATCTGGTTCCCTGATTTTAAAGGCTACAGAAAAAGCACCCTATCTCAGAAGATCCCACAAAAATGTTACTTCTTGGTCACTTCATTTAGAGTGGGTGGGGAATGCTGAAATTTGAACCCAGGGACGTATGTCTACTGAGCAACATTTCTTAATTTTTAATTCAATTCCTTGAATTAAAAAAAAATTAAGGGCTGGAGAGATGGCTCAGTGGTTAAGAGCACTGCCTGCTCTTCCAAAGGTCTTGAGTTCAATTCCCAGCAACCATATGGTGGCTCATAACCATCTGTAATGAGATCTGGTGCCCTCTTCTGGCGTGTGGGCATGCATGCAGACAGAATACTGAGAATACTATACACACAATAAATAAATAAATAAATAAATAAATAAATAAATAAATAAATAAATAAATAAAAATCAAGGTTGACGAGATGGCTCAACAGGTGAAGATGTTTGTTGGTAGCCTAAAAGTCTGAATCCCAGAACCCACATAGTAGAAAAAACTGACTTTTGCCAGTTGTCCCCTGACCTTCACACATGCACTATGGAAAACAGACTTGTGCACATGTGTACACACAATAATTTAAAATTTTTATTTTAAATGAAAATTTGACTGGGCATGGTGGTATGCATGCTTTTAATCCCAGCACACAGAACGCAGAGATAGGCAGCTCTTTGGTCTGCACAGCCCTTCAAGTCCCAGGCCAGTCGAGGATACACAGTGAAGCCTGGTTTCAAAAATAAATACATACACTTAAAAAAAAATCTGTATTTAAAGGTCCAGAAGCTAAGAGTGCAGCAGTGGATGAATTCACTTCCCTCACGTGCTGCCTTACACCTGGGCCCAAAGGCCAGGCAGGTTTCTTTCTTTCTTTCTTTTTTTTTTTTTAAAGTTATATTTTTTTATTTATTATGTATACAATATTCTGTCTGTGTGTATGTCTGCAGGCCAGAAGAGGGCACCAGATCTCATTACAGATGGTTGTGAGCCACCATGTGGTTGCTGGGAATTGAACTCAGGACCTTTGGAAGAGCAGGCAATGCTCTTAACCGCTGAGCCATCTCTCCAGCCCCAGGCAGGTTTCTTTTGATGAATCCCAAGATCTAGGGCTTCCCTTAGGCAAGAAAAGAAAAGAAGTGCGGGCACTCAGCGCTGTGTCCATCCCTGTGGCTGTTCCAGGAATCTGGTCCGGCTGGGCAATAGCTCAGCTGGCAAAAGTGCTGCCTTGCAGCATCAGGACCTGAATTTGATCCCCAACACCTATGTAAAAAGCCAGACATGAGGATGCTTTTGACCTCAGCACCGAGGAAGCAGAGGCAGGTGGATCCCTGGGGCTGTTAGCCTACTTGATGAGTTCCACGCCAGGTAAACTCTTGTCTCAAAAAAATCAAGTGGCCAGCACTTGAGGAACATCACTTAAAGCTGACCTCTGGCCTCTGCATACATAAGTACACAATGGAGCCGAACTCACAGAATGCTTTAGGGGAAGTGCAGCTTTCCACAAAGGATCCGGACAGCCCTCTTCACAGTGCAAAATCACACTACAAACACTGCTCTCTCCTTGTCTGCTGGCCCAAATTCAGGTATTATCTAATTTGGCCTTAAGCAAAGGGCTTATTTAAGGCTAGCCTGGAAGCAGAGGCTAAGGTTTTCTGCAATAATCCTATAGCCTTAAAACTAGAGACCATGTGGGGCTGGGGCTGGGGCTGGGGCTGGTGTCTAATCTGAATTCATCAAAGGCACTGACCCTTTATCTCCGACACTGGTGCTGCTCGGCCATCTGTCACCACCATCTTGGCCTTTGGTTCCTTGCCCTGAGGCTGGTCCACTTGCCCGGCTTGGGGACTGATCATACACCAAGTTCCTGCATGATGCTAGTTTGGACTCCAGCGCCTGGGAAGAAACACACTTTCATCAGTCAAGGTGTAGACGGAGGTTGGAGAAATAGCCAGCTGGGGGAGGGGGTGCTTGCCAAGTGTGCATGAAGCACAGGGTTTGATCCCCAGCAGTATATAAACAAGGTACGACATTACCTGTAACTCAGGAGGAAGAGACAGGAGGATCAGAAGTTAAAAGTTATCTTCAGCTGCTTAGCAAATTCGAGGCCAGCCTGGGCCACAGCATTCCCCACCCCTCAAGGAAACAAGAAAGACAGGAACGGAAAAGTCTGAGAGCCACTGGGCATGATGGCACACACCTTTGACCCCAGCCCTCAGGAGGCAGGAGCAGGCAGATCTGTGTGAGTCCAGACAGAGCAGGTTTCAGATGCCTTGCCAGTCTAGGTCACACAGTGAGCTCCAGGACAGCCAGGGTTACAGAAAGATACTATCGAAAAAACCACATAGAAGGTGGGAGCTAGGGAAGAGAAAACCACTTAAATTGTGTTCCCAAGATTCTGAGGGGTCCTCAGTGGAACCCAGTGTGTCTACAAGGACTAAAACTAACCCCCTAAAATATTCAGAAGCTTCCCAGAAAATCATTAGCTCCACCTAGTAAAATATGAGATAGGCGTGGTGTACACCTGCAATCTTAGCACTCAAGGGACTGAGGCAGGAGAATTACTATAAGTTCTAGGCCAGCCTAGGTGACATAGAAAGACTCTGTCCCAAAAAACAACCAGAAACCAAACAAACAAAAAAGAACTACCCTCACCAAATACTAAGAATAGTAATAATCATCTTCTGGAACCGTTCTCTTGTTTACCTCATCAAACCTGCAAAGAGAGTCAACCGAGGTCTTGAACTTGGAGGAAACAAACCTAAAAATTCACAGAGGTACAGACCTTCAGTGTGCGTGCGTGCATGCGTGTGTGTGTGTGTGTGTGTGTGTGTGTGTGTGTGTGTGTGTGTGTGTGTTCTCTTTCTGCCTCAGGCCAGGCTGACATTAAATGACCTTCAGGCATAGTTTCTAAAACTGAAAGAACAGCTACAAGAATTCTGTGTGGCTGCCTGAGGACAAAAGCTCCTCCCTGTGACTAACAGAAAGCCAGGAAGGCCAAGGCTGTTTCTTTGCTTTGCTTCTTAAGATGTTCTATAGACAGACAGAGGAAAAAGGACTGACCCATTTCTAAATAGCTCTTGGACTTTTTTTTTTTTTTTCAAATTAAGAAAGAACTTCCAGTTTAGCTTGGAAGCCCACAACTACAGTCTCAGAATTTGGGGACTGTGAGGCAGGAAGAAGGCTGCTAGTGTGGGGCCTGAGAGACAGACAAACTACTTGGGAGAAAAAATGGAAGATGCCTGGATTCAGAGCACCTGATCCCTCTATATGAAACTCTCGTCTCATGATGAAAGGTCTAGCCACATCTAAAACTCAGGTCTCTGTGAAAGCGGGAAGAGAGGCTGTCTAGAAAACCTTCAAACAAAAAAAACCCGCAAAGGCTGGAGCTTACCCCAACTTTCCGAAGCAGGTCCCCAACGATGTTTAGGGCTGATATTCGGGCTGCAGGTGTGAGTGGGGTCCCACTGTTAGAACTGTCCAGACCTGGGTATACAAGAAGCACAAGTCACACAGTACTATATAGTCTGTGTACCAATGTCACCAAACTCCAACTGTGGGGGTGGGGACGAAAGCTGACACCTTCCTTTTGAGTTTGGTCACTATCTTATCTGGGCAACATGCCAAGAGTCTACCAGTCTATTTTTTGAGTTCTTGGTAAGATTATGTTAAACATGTATTTTCACAGGTTAATCTTTTTAAACCAAGCCAAGGCAGTCTAAGGACTCCACGGAGCTCGTTAATAACATTGAAAATGATTAGGATAGATATATGCATGGTGAAAAAAATTGGGGAGCGAAAGGCAGGGTCCTTCCTGTCAGTGTGGCCACTGGGGTTGCAGCCATGCACCACCACAGCCAGCTGCTCCACTCGTGGCCAGTGATGGCTCTGTGGGTAAAAACACTTGCTGCTGAGCCCAACTTCCACATGCACACCATGGCAGCCCTTCATAATTAAAAAGAAATTCTTTTTCTTTTTATGAGCCCCTCCCCCAACACAGCGGTACAACTGTAGGCCCCACGAGACCAGCTGAACCTGAACCAAACTCATCCCCAGTAGTTTGAACCCCAATAGGCTCCTATATTTGAATGCTTGGTCACCAGGGAGTAAAACTGTTTGAAGGGATTATAAGGATTAGGAGGTGTGGCCTTGTTGGAGGAAGTTTTCCTAGGTTTCAAAAGTCCATGCCAGGCCCAGTACCTCTACTTGTGGACCAGGAAGTGCCTGCCTGCCATCATGTTCTTTGCCATGATTAAAATGAACTAAATCTCTAAAACTGTAAGCAAACCTCCAGTTAAGTACTTTCTTTTATAAGACTGCCTTAGTCATGGTGTTTACGCAGCAATAGAACAGCGATTAAGACACCAAGTGAGTCATGTGAACCCTGAAACACAGGAAACTGCTCTGGACTGGGACCCCAGAGGCCACACCAGTCTTCATCAGCAAGGCTCACACTGTGAACTGAGGCTTACACCCTTGAACCAACCTATGTGGCTGTGAACCTCAACTCTGCCACTGATCTGTTAGGTAACGTCGGGGACATTGGCATACACATCTGAAAGATGGGACTACCACCGGTACTGAGACTGTGAGGAGGCTCTGTGCGGCCCTACTATGAAGTGTGGTAAATTGTGAGGAGGCTCTGTGTGGCCCTACTATGAAGGGTGGTAAACTGTGAGGAGGCTCTGTGTGGCCCTACTATGAAGTGTGGTAAAGACTGTGAGGAGGCTCTGTGTGGCCCTACTATGAAGTGTGGTAAAGACTGTAAGGAGGCTGTATGTGGTCCTACTATGAAGGGTGATAAACTGTGAGGAGGCTCTGTGTGGCCCTACTATGAAGTGTAGTAAATTTTGAGGAGGCTCTATGCGGTCCTACTATGAAGGGTGGTAAACAAGATGTCAACCATATATGAGCATTTGATAACTGTCTATTTGCCTGATTCATCAGCCGAGAGGCTGGGGGCAGAACTCAAAATTTTCAGTTTTAAGCACACCAATTACTTTGGGCCCATTTCCAAGTAGATCTATTGCAGAACTCCTCCGCCCCCTCATAAGTATTTATTTATGAGATAGTCACTCACTATGTAGACCAGGCTAGCCTTGAACGTTCAATCCTATTGCTTCTGCCTCAAGAACACAGAGATTACAGATATGTACTATCATGTCCAACCCATGATGCTTTTAACTTTTATTTGTATGTGACTGGAGTGGTCAGCTAGGATGGACCCACATCCTTCTGTTTTTTACCACAGGATGTGTTACGCCCTGTGTCACTCAAAACCCCCGTCATGTATCATGACAGCCTGCCCCACTGATCCCCACACTACTCCCTAACCCTGAGCTAGATCCACACCACCTTACCCAGGACCCACATTAGGTTCTCATCAGGACAAATCTTTAATTTATTCACTCATTCATTTTGAGTCAGGGTCTCTCTACAAAGCCCTGGCTATCCTGGAACTCACTATGTAGACTGGCCTTGGACTCAGATCTCCACCTGCTTCTGCCTCTCAAGTACTGGACTTAGAGGTCTGCATCACCATGTCTGGCCTCTTTGAATCAAGGAAAATTTTTCCCTTTGTCCCATCTCCTTACCACGTCTGAATATTCCTGGTGTGTTTAAACCAGAGCTGGGTCCTCGGTGAGCTATGGGAGTGGACGGCATAGAGCCTGTAGCCTGTACAGCCATGTCTGTCCTCTCAGTTTCCCCAGAGCCTGGCAAGGGTGTCCGGGGCTTGTCTTGCTTCTGCTGCACAGCCAATTCCTGCCGCAGATCTATGCCGGGAAAGGAGCCAGAATGTGAGCCCTCTCTTCTGGGTGAGGATGAAGCCAAAACAGGAGGGCTACACCCCAGAAATCAACCTTGAAACCCTGACTAGCGGGACACCCACATGTCCTCCTAACAGTTATACAAAACAACACACTTCCTTTCTGCAGGATACAGAAGAACACGAAACGATGGTACATGCTTCACCATGCTAATGCTCAGTACAGACAGAATCCCAAGGGAAACTACCCACTATCCACCCCCCAGGACCCTTCCCTATGGAACATGTGACCAAGTTTTGCTTTTTTTCTGTGTGCTGTTGTTTTTTCTTTTCTTTTTGAAATTTGGGAACAGTTTTATTCGACTTTAAACGAGAAACCCAAGCAGGCAAGCTTGAAATCTTAGCAGCTACCAGAAGGAAGTTAAGAGAAAAGGAAGAGAGAAAGCCACATCTTTGAGTCAGACTAATGTACTCTGCAATGGCAGGGAGTGAGGAGGTACAAGGGGAAGTAATTCAGAAAGTAGGGTAAACCGTGGAGCAGCAGACTGTAGGACAGAGGCCCAAGTCTCAGTAGTTTACCCTAAGGCAATACCTAATTTCAAGAAAGGCCACAAACTGTGACCACCCACGCATCACCCAGGAACAGACCATCCAAAGGAAATTCCTAACGTTCCAACCATAGTAGATAGGACCACCTGCCAGCACTTAACCCTGGCGTTTCACCAGGACACCCCTAGACAAATGTCAGTCAATCAGGGGTCCTGAACCTTAGAAATCCTTCACCCCCACCTTTGCTACTATAAAAACCTAACCCCAACTGAGCTGGGGGTTGGTCTCCAATCACTCCAACATGTTGAACACATGGAGAGACTGAGTTTGCAAGCGTGTGTAAGAATAAAAGCTCTTTGCTTTTACACTCAGGACTCGGTCTCCTAGTTGGTTTCTGTGATTTGGGCATAACATAGATGACTGTCTTTCTGCTAAGTATCCAGGACGGGCTCAAATACTTGATCCTCCTGAGTCAGCCTCCTGAGCACTAGACTCCACGTGTCCACCCAACCTTTGCAGACCTCCTCTGCATAGTTCACATGTGCTGTGAGCTCCTATTGCATGTAATGCAAGTGACTTTAGGAAGCATTAGCCGTGGATATGCCACTTCCTGCCTTTGACTAATTCCCTCCCCTTCCGTGAAGGGTCTGGCCCATCTTTCCCAAGACAACATGTCTACCAATGCCCAGTCATTTTAATAACTGTTTAACAATCCACAAAATAAATTCCTATGATTTATTGGCATCTCATTACTGATGGCTCTTACCTGTTTGGACTAGGTGTGCTTCAGATTTCAGCGCTCTTTAAATTTTGTGATATTTGATTGACTTTACCAATCAATTGAGAATTTTCCCATCTAGGGCTTTTTTGCTTGGTTGTTTATGGTTTGTTTTTTTTTTGTTTTGTTTTGTTTTGTTTTGCTTTATTTTGTTTTTGAGACAGGGTCTCTGAAGAACAGGCTGGTCTTGAATTTGCTATAAAGCTATGGATGACCTTAAATAACTGATTCTCCTCCCTCATGCAAGGATCACAGGTTTGCACCAACATGCCCAGCTCCACCAAGTACTCCTAATGGAATCCAACATGTTCTGAAATCTAAAACTATTTAAACTTGACTGTTACTTTTTTTTAAATTAACTTATTTTTTTATGTATACAGTGTTTTGCCTGCATGTATGCCTACAGACCAGAAGAGGGCACCATATCTCATTATAGATGGTTGTGAGCCACCATGCAGTTGCTGGGAATTCAACTCAAGACCTCTAGAAGAGCAGCCAGGGCTCTTAACCGATGAGCCATGTCTCCAGCCCTGACTGCTGCTTTTAAAACCTTACCTAGTAACTACACCATTGGAAATCAAATTTTTGAAGAAAGAAAGAAAGAAAGAAAGAAAGAAAGAAAGAAAGAAAGAAAGAAAGAGAAAGAGAGAAAGAGGGAAAGGAAAAGAAAGGAAGAATGGACAGGCATAATGGTGTAAACCTTTAATACCAGTACTCATGAGCCAGAAGCAGGTAGACTTTTATGAGTTCAAGGTCAGCCTGGTCTACAAAAGGAGTTCCAAGACAGCCATGGCTATTACACAGTAAACCCTGTCTTGAAAAACAAAAATAAATAATAAACAAGAAATTAGGACTTGGAACAAAGTCTCTTAAGCACTCAGCTTGGATGGATCACCAGTGAAGTTCTCATTAGTGTGAAAACTTCATGCCTGAAACAACAGTCAAAAGTTGGCCAGCAATATAATGGCATTTTTATCCACCAAGAAACCCTTGTGTTTCTGCCAGGCCTCAAGCCTGCCTGGTATGGGTGGGATCATTCCCCAAAGAGTCATTTCTGAACCAAGGAGGACAAACCCAAGAACAAAGCTGGATCTGTCAACCCCAAGGCTTTTCCTGAAACCATGAGGTTTCTGAGTCATCCCAGGAATCCCCATCAGCAGCTGACAAATCGGAGCACCCATCCTGGCAAGCTGCGCCTCTGCTCTGTGAGGCCCAGTTATGTACAGAACAGATCCAGATTAACTGGAAAGGCAGTGCTAGGCATAGACAAGGACAGTATTGTCTTGGATGGAGCGGTACCATGCTGGGGGAAGACCGGGAAAGTCTGACCTCTTGCTTCATCCTTCAACCTCTGTACGGATTCTAGAAGATTTTCCTTCTCATCCAGCTCACTCTCCAGGAAGGCATTTCTTTCGATTGCTTGATTCAAGCGCTGCTCAAAGTCTTCCAGAGACATTATTGTGGCTCTGGGTAAAAGAAACACAAAGTTATCCAAGATAGCAATGGCAGCATGTGTTGGTATCTTGCAGGCCTGGAAAATGTGACAAAAGGCACGCCTAGGCGGTCCTAAATACCACAGGCCTGGTCAAGTCAGCTTCCTGGGCCTCAAGTTCTTCACCAACAAAATATGGGATCATTAGAGCTGAGAACAAGTTGTCTTGTGGGTCAGGTCTAATGATTTCCATATGGCCCTTAGTGATGATCTAAGGCCCTGTCCGTCAGCACCACATGCTCTGCCCCATCGTTGACAGCAACCAGCTCTAGCTTGTCTAGGAATGCTAATTAGCATTCAGAACAGTCCAACACACACACACACACACACACACACACACACAGTCCAGCACTAATCCCTTAGTGACTTTAAAGTCAAGAAAGTGTTACTGCAGATGTGGCAGTCACTAAGTGCTTGAGCATCTATATGAGCTAAGATCCCCCAAAACCCACACAGTATGAGCTTATTATCCCAGTATCAGGAGGTTTTCTAGCCATCCAGCCAGCCTATCCAGAACAGGGAGCTCTAGGTTCACCTAGAGACCCTGTCTCAAAAATATGACGGGTGACTGAGAATACCTGCTGCTGACCTCTGCCACCCTGCCTCTATGTGCACACACTTGTGATGAGAAAAACCAAAGCTTCCAAAGCTCTGGGCATTCGGTCTCCCATCCAGCTGCCCCCCAACAGACACTGCTTTGTGAACAGGGTAGGTATTTCACTAGAACACAGTGATAAATGGTGGTAAAGGCACCAAGAAGGGCTGTAACTTCAAAACAACAATAAGAAGAATCCATTCAGTGTTTAACTCAGGCCCAGAACTTTCTCTGAATCTGTTTCCTCACACAGAAAGCAGGGGCAGTAAGCACATCTCTGTGACGTAAGGCAGGAGTAAAGTGGTCCAAACAGTAAACCATGGGCTTTTCAAGCTCATGTTGACACTTTTTTTTTTCTTTTTTTCTTCTTCTTTTTTTTTTTTTTTTTTTTTTTTTTTGGTTTCTCAAGACAGGATTTCTCTGTAGCTTTGGAGACTGTCCTGGAATTAGCTCTGTAGACCAGAGCTCTGGCCTTGAACTCACAGTGATCCACCTGCTTCTGCCTCTGGAGTGCTGGGATTAAAGGTGTCCACCACCACCACCTGGTTCATGATGGCACTTTAAGGCATCTGGGGAGCTGTAGTGCAACTGCATTTTCTGCAGTAGGAAGCAGGTTTGGAATCCTCCGTGTAAGCTGGGGTCTTCAACTGTAGTGGAAGGCTGGATTTGTTAACTTATTCAACATTCCCTATTAACATCATGTTAGAGGGGCTGGAGAGATGGCTCAGAGGTTAAGAGCACTGGTAGCTCTTCCAGAGGACCTGAGTTCAATTTCCAGCAACCACATGGTGGCTCACAACCATCTGTAATGAGATCTGGTGCTTTCTTCTGGTATGGAGGTGTACAGGCAGAAGGAACACTGTATATATAATAAGTAAATAAATTAAAAAAAATAAAACAAAACAAAGCATCATGTTAGCACCTGTTTGTTCAAGTTACCTAAGGTGCCTATCTAGTGACAAGAGGAAAGCATTCAATTAGAGAATAGGGATCTAGATGGAGGACATGAATGCTTCTGGGAAAACAAATGTGTGCTCAAGACTCAGGAGGCCCAAGAGGTAAAGACACTTGTCCCCTAGGCTAGGGAGATGGTTCAATAGTTAAAGCAACTGCTACATGTACAAGGACCGGAGTTAGGATCCTGAGATGCCATATAAATACAAGGTGAGCATGGTGGCACCTGGCGCCTTCTCCTGGCAAGTGTAATTTTCTTTTGTTTGTTTGTTAGAAGGAGACAGACTTGAAAGACCAATGGTAAAGAATCATTACAGGTAGGAAGCTCACACCTCTCTATGGAGTCTCAAAAACAAAACAGGTCAGGTGTAATGATATATCTTTGTAATCCTAACACTTGGGAAGCTAACACGTGAAGGTTACAAGTTCAAGGCTAACCTGGACTAAATAAAGAAACCCTGTCTCAATCCCTGCCCCTCCCAAACTAGGAAAAAAAAACAATAAAAACATATGCCAAGTGTCTTATTTATGTATTTGCCTTCCTCTGCCTTCTGAGTGCTGGGATAAAGGCATGTGCCATCACGCCTAATTCAAGCCAAGTGTTTTAAAAGACTAGAGAACAAAAGGCCCTCCTAACTGTGACTGTCTTGAATACGCAAAAGTCAAATAACCCATGCACACTAACTAAAGCACACATCAGACAAAGCCAAAAGAAACTCCAGATACGTTAGACTCATGTCAAAGACAAACAGATGAAAGTCTCTTAGAAGCAATGAAAATAACCACACAAATCCAGTTTCAACATACTAGGTAGGGTGACAAATTTTGAATTCTTAACACTTAGGAGGTAGAGGCAGAAGGACCAGAATCTCAAGGCTATCCTTGGCTACAGAGTGAGGACAAGGCCATCTAGGCTACATGAAACTCTGTCTACTGTCCCCAAAACTCTAACTTCAAAATGTGTAAACTAGTGTGAGATGTAGTTCGGTGGTAGAGCACTTGCCCAGTGTGCTTTTCGTTTGTTTGTTTTGTTTTTGTTTTATTTCGAGACAGGGCTTCTCTGTAGCCTTGAAGCCTGTCCTGGAACTAGTTCTTGTAGACCAGACTGGCCTCGAACTCAGAGATCCACCTTGGTTCTGGATTTGATTCCAAATACTGAATTAGAAGAGAGAAAAAGAGGGAGGAAGGGAGGGAAATAGGCTGAGAGAAAAAGAATGAGAATGTAGCTCAGAAAATAAATACCATAGCTATAGGTTTTCTAGAATTCAAAGCTGAGGTGAACCCATTTCTCATTTCTCATCTATTTGGCAGGAATTCTAAGCCTAATAATCACTGTGTTAGGGAGGCAAAGTGGAAAACGAGGATTTGGTAAAGAGCCACTGGGAATATTAACTGGTCCTATCCAAGTCACATAGGCGTGTGTCCTCAGACAGGATCCCACTGCTCAGGTGCACATCATAGCAGGTTGTTTATCACAGAGGCACTGATCAGTAAAGACATGCAGCCCCAAGAGCCTGGATAAGTCAGTCACCATGGTATCAGCCAATGTCAGCCTCAGTAGATGAACAAGGGTGTTCTGTTGTCCTTCAATAGACAGATATCTTCAGCGCCCATTGTTAAGTGAAAAAGCAAGACGTTCAACTCTGAGTACAAAGTGTTCTGTTATGGGGGACTGGAGGTGGAGGAATAACAATGCCTTTTGTTTTATTCTATCAGCCTATGTTAATTATACATAAAGATTTCTTTATAAATTTCATACATGAACATCATTTTGATGTTTGCCATGACCACTCATTATCCTATTCTGTCCGCCACTCCCTCCTGTGTTATTCCATTGTTTTTATGTCTTTAGCATGTGTGACCCAATGAGCCAATGTGATTGCTTCCAAGAGCATGTATATTGCAGAGTGCTGCCTCGCTGAAGGGAAGCCTCAGCTGTACCACCTGTCAATCTTCGGGAAGGCGAAGAGGTCTCATGAGCCCCTGCCACTTTCATGACAGAGTATTTGTTTTTTGTTTGTTTGAATTTCCATTAAAAACAAATAAACAAACAAAAACTCCTAGAGATAGCTCAGCAGTTAAGACTATATACCGCACTGCTCCTGCAGAGGACCCCCATTCAGTTCCCAGGACCCATGTCAGGTGGCTCACAAACTCCAGCTCCAGAGGATCCATACCTCTGACATCCATTGACACCTACATATACATATACAGAGATACAATTAAAATCCTTTTAAAAGGGTCTGTAGAGATCACTCAGTGTTTAAAAGCACTGCTTGCTCTTCCAGAAGACCAGGGGTCAATTCCCAGAACCCACATGGCAACTCAGAATTTCTGTAAATCTAGTTTTAGGAGATCAATGCCCTCTCCTGACCTCTATAAGCACTGTAACAAGGTGCACAAAAAAAGTTTTGAACCTCTTAAAAATTCAAAGAAACTGGGCTGGAGAGATAGCTCAGTGTAGGGATAAGTGTAGGGGGTGTGTTCGCCTCAGGCTAAAGTTTGCCTATAAATTTGGCGAGCATGCTCCCAGCCCTCGCTTCTGCTTTCCTGGTCTCCACTGGAACGGTGGTTCTGTAAGTCTATTCCTCCATTAAAGCTGGCTATATTTTGACAATCTGTCTGCATTCGCTTACGCCGTTACATTTTGGCGTCCAACATCGGGCTATTTTGACCCCACTCAAGCGCTTAGCCTGCTAGCTAACACAGCACGCTCCCAGGTGTCGTTTTCTTAGTTCGTGACTTGGGGCCCAGGGCTGAGTCCGAGATACACTCGGCCTTCAGGCCCATAATATCCAGAGAGGCAGGCGGATCTCTGTGAGTTCGAGGCAGACCAGGCGGTGGTGGCATATGCCTTTAATCCCAGCACTCGGGAGGCAGAGACAAGCGGATCTCTGTGAGTTCGAGGCCAACCTGGTCTACAAGAGCTAGTTCCAAGACAGGCTCCAAAACCATAGAGACCACCACCGGCAGGAACCAGTCGTTGCAGGTAAAAGAAAAAATTTTCTTTTATAATTAAAATGTCTGAACACGTTACCATTCAAGAATTTAACAGTTTTTTTAATTGTACCATGTGGGAGATTTTACAAGAGGTGTCTATCACCCCACCTCTATGGATCTTTCTGGGATTCGTAGTTTTCCTTGGCACTATATGGTTTGATAATAGAAATATGATAAAGTCTTTACGAGCAGAGGTTGCACGCTTAAAAACAATTGAGAATGACAACAATCTTCTCAAGAATCAGTTTGAAGTTCTCCAGGAGGAGAACAGATCTTTGTTTAACATGACTCGATCAACTGAGGAAAATTTAAAAAAGGTACAGACTGATATTAAGGAGAAATTCATTACTATGGAAGAGGGAACAGCTGATTTGGATCGTAAGCTCCAGTCCCTTTCTGTAGGAACTGAAACATTACAGGCTGAT